TTTTTTCAACAGCGGTTTTATAACAGCTTGTTTTAAGCTGGCTGGAATTATGCCTTCCCGAAGGGAGGCATTAACCACCACCTTTACCCACTCGGCCAATCCCCCTCTGGCCTCCTTTAGAAGCCAGGATGGGCAGGGGTCTAGGATGCATGTGGTTGCCCTCATCCCTCCAAGCACCTTGTCCACATCCTCAGGTGTCACAGATTGAAACGAATCCAACAAACTCGGACAGACAGGTGTTCTCGTCACATCCTCAGAGACTGCCGTTAACATGGTGTCTAGACCTGAACGGATCAAAGCGACTTTGTCCGCAAAGAACCGAGCAAATGCTTCACAGCGGGCCGTCTAATGCAGGTTAATTTCTGGTGGGGGTCTGTTGATGAACCGGGGTGCAAATGCTCTATGATGCTGCACCTAGAACAAAGGAGGCTTCCCGTGTTCCATTTTGAACAATGGGGCCAGCGCAGTGGGAAGCCGTATGGTGACACTTCCCTTCATGTGATGGGGAAGCAGCGCTGCCAGCAAGGCGTTGTGCTGCAATTGTCCCACTGCTCCTCCTATTTGTCATGGAGGCTGGCGAATTGCCCTGCGAAACCTCATCAATGTGATGAGCTCCTTATACATGAGGAGAAGTCTTTGCAAAGCAAAGAGCCATTGCTTAGGGAGATATCATTCTTCACACACATTATCATGTCAGACAGATCACTTTGCTGCGAAGTGTGCTGGCGCATTCAACTGTTGGTCATCAAGCACTGAGTGAGTAATCCAATGATGTGCAAAACAGTTTCACCATTTCATTTCAAATTCTAGTTTTCCTCCACTGTCTGTCTGAAAGAGTCGGATATTTTAAGAGATGATTTGGCCTGCCTCCATGTAGAGGGTGTCTTCTAGTCAGTGAGCAAGAAATTTAAATGTTTCTCCTTGGCTGAGTGCACTTTCCTTTAGTCCCATTCAAATTGCACTGGGTATGCAGTTGGACATGAAGTAAGCAAAAACAATGATCACAGATAATTTATATTCCATTGAAGTAGACATTAAAATGATTCAAGATATTTTATACTGCAATCAAGAAATCAGAAGATTAGGACTTGGAAGGACAACTATGAAGGGATGAGACGAGATTCTAAATTTCACACACATATATAATTTTAATACTAAAGTCAGGATTTCCAATGTCATTGTATTTATTATATTTATGTATTGTTGTAAAGGCTGGACAGTGAAGAAAGGTGATAGGAAGAAATCAGTGCTAGAGTAGATTTCTATAGATATTATTGATTGTGTCTATAGCCAGGGGCGGCTCGTCCATTATGCGAAGTAAGCAGTTGCAAAACACTTTTTTTTGCCAGGGGTGCAGAGGCGCCTCTGTAAATGCCCCTCGACCGCCACTTGAGGAGCGCCCCNCTCGACTGGTGCTGCACGGAGAAGCCTGGTGGGCAAAGCTGGGTTAAATTAACTCCTCCAGCTTCGTCCAGCTTCGTTAGATACAAAAGCCCTGAAGGCAAAATCTTTAGGGAAGTTGAAGAATGGTAGCATTAACTATCATGGAATCGTGATCAAAGTTTATTTAATACTTTAAATACACTTACAATTTGAATTTACAAGTTCTATAATGGTCATTATTATATTTGCCTCACTTATAAAGCATGGGATGCACAAGAAAGTGTCATACATTCCCTCACTGATAAATTGCAAATTTCCTGAAGTATCTTCATATTATTTTTTTAGCAATTGTTTAGTAATTTCTTGAACTGTCTTTTTGTCGTTTTCTTTAGCTAATGGCCTTTTAGGCTTGCTCCATGTGAACAGGAGTTCACTTTTTGAATAATAAGAATTATATCTCTTATAAGGGATCAGGATTTTAGAGATGCTTAGGTGGGGAACCACTGATCTAGATGTATTTTGTCCCTAGTTGTACTGGCCCCAATGTCAGAAATGAGTGCCTCTGAAAATATATACAAGATGTCTACCCACACAGCCCTTTGTCCCCTGAAGCTGTTTAAACCATCTCTTAATCTGATTTACTTAATCTGATCAACTGCACAGACAGTGGGGAAAAGTGGGAAGTTGTTTCTGGTTGTCTGCCAGATAATAGCAAAAAAGAAAATCTAGTCTACACTGGAAAGAAGTGGGGCTATTAAAGCTGGGGAATAACTTCAACAACCAAGAAGAAAATGAAAGGTGCCAAGCTTACTTTGAAATTGGGAGCAGTATGTTTTTGAATGGAGTGTTCTTGTTCAGATTCTAAATTATATGAATCTAATAATATGTTCTGCTTTTTGAACTTGAGTATTTCTGAGAAATTCACTTTCCACTGTAATATGAAATGTCTATATGCCAAAACAGTTCCCCATTTAAAAAAATAATAATAATGCTGAGGTCAAATAAAGGAGTAATTTTGCTTCTGGGACTTGATAAAATTCTTCCAAATTTTAAAAAGTATACAAAGCTTGTATACAAGCTTTGTATACAAAGCTTGAAGACAACTCTTTAAACTGGATTTAAACTGGATTATATGAGTCCGCACGGCCAGATAATCTGGAATAAACAGAAAACCTGGAATAAACAGAAAACCTGGAATCAAATCTTGGGATATAGGGCCTGTCTAGAAGGGCCCCTAGAGACAATTGATAGCCTCCCATCCAACTGCTAACCATCGCTGATCCTGCTTTACATAGTTTATTTTGCAGATAAGGCTGAACATATAAATATGAAAATACAGACATTTAAAAGTTGAGCATGCAAGCCCTGAATTTAGATGGAGAAATGAGTCATATTTAATTTATCCCACTTAAGACAACGAAAACATCTCTAGTTCTTTCCAACCTTAATATTAAGAAAATTGTTTATTATGGTATGTTATTATAAAAAACTGAAAATAAATAATCTCCCATTTCTAAAGTAAACTACTTGGAAAGAAAGAGTCCTGACCTCTCGTTTGCCCCTAATGTTCTCAAGCCATTGCACAGCATGATATCTACAGTATTAGCACATTTGCCAAATAAATGGATTAGTGAGAAGTAGGTGCCTATACTAAAAATACCTCGTGATAAGACATTATTTCCTAGGAAGATCTTTTCAATCTACATATACATGTTTGCATCATTTTTGTGGATAATTCTGAACATGGAAAACTGTATTCATCATAGAATAGACCAGATCAGACATGGTCCGTTTTCAAACATATAGATCTGAGATCCTATTTGTTCATAAATCAAGTGCTGATATTTGATAATATTGCAAATATTATCAAATTTTTGGTTCTTAGAACAATCTATAATAATATTGTTGAAATATCTGGTTATTTTAAAACATGTATTTTAAAATAAATGCTCCACCCGACTTGCCAAAGAAATAAAATATTGTGACCTCTAAACTTGTGGTTCCAAATATTGATGTGTCACTTGTTTTTAGACTTTAATCCTCAACTATTATGGGCAAAAGGAGGCACGATGGGAATTTTATTTCAAAAATAGACCCACATTTGCAATTTGCAATTCAATACATGCAAAAAGATGTACTGCAAATGTTTCTTGTGAAACTTTGACTCTACTTACAAAGCACACAAGAACTTCAAAATCAAACATAGAGGAGGAACATTTTTGATTTTCACACTGTCATTGGACAGATTTGCAATTATACATTAATCCCAAAAGGTGAAGTAGAAAACCAACAAATAAGAATAGATTGCTTAGCTACTAACAAGAAGCTGAAAAATTGTAAGAATTGGCCCAAACTGATGAACTTTTCTATGTCATTTTTTTTAAAAAACAACAGTAACACTACTAGCTTTGCTTTCGCTGCACAACAAATCACCATTATGGCAAATATTTAAAATTAACCAGATGGAGCAATAGGGTCAGGCTTTAGCACAGCAGTTTAACCGCCAGCTGCCAATAGAAAGGTTGAGAGTTCAAAGCCCGGGTCGGGGTGAGTTCCTGGCCTTTAGCTCAGCTTCTGCCTACTTGGCAGTTCGAAAACAAATGTGAAAAGATAAATAGGTACCACTTTAAAGCGGGGAGATATTTAAGACACCCATAAAGAAATGCCAGAAAAGTTCAAAGGGGAAGTTTACAAACAAAGCTTTTGAGCAGGGAAGACAGAGCGACAGCAACCCACCCCCCCCACCCCCCAGGGCACAACCTCCAAGATGCCAAAGATGGGAAAGCATATCTATCTATCTATCTATCTATCTATCTATCTATCTATCTATCTATCTATGTACAGTTGTCTGTCTTGTCAGTGCATAATGGCACTGTATGTATGCTGTATATGTGTTCTGTGATCCACTTTGAGTCCCCTTTGGGATGGGAAAGGCAGAATATAAATACTGTAAATAAATAAATGTAAATAAATAGTGGTTATATGAAGATGCCCCTATAAAAGATTCACAGTCAATGGTCATGACTCTCCAGATAATAATCCTAATTTCCTTATCTGGTCTATTCAAAGACAAGCAGATAATATAAATGGTATTCTCTAAACTGTAAATATGGCTACCTTTTTAATCAGATGAAGGACAGAAAAAGAGCACAGAAGTTAGCTGTTTTTTAAAAAAGAAATACCAACTAACATTCCAGTAGAAGTCCATTTAGGAATAAAATATTATTTCAACAAATTGACAGGAGAGTGTAAGCTAAGTGAATGAATACAGTGCTCGCTTCGGCAGCACATATACTAAAATTGGAACGATACAGAGCTAAGTGAATGAATACAAACCCTAACTCTTTTGAAAGCCAAAAAGCGCATTGGACAAATAATGAGAAGGAAACTGACATCCTAGATCACACATATATCTATTCAACCCACATAAGAGACTCATTAGATTATGTGAATTAATCCTAGGAATAGTAATAAAAAAAGGAAAAAAGGAAAACAGGTCATAGGCAGAAAGCATGATACCTAATAAGCTATTGCTGGTTCACAGTACCCGCAAATTGGTATGCTTAAGTAATTTACTGGTGCAACGAAAAGAAAGATAAGCAAATGGTTGTATTTACCTGCCTACTTCCCTGCTTGGAAGAACAGCTGCTGGTACTTCTTGAGGGTGATAAAACTTTCTGAGAGACTCCAAGGTTCTTTTCTTCAGTCATGATTTTGGAGAGGGTTTCTTTGGAATTAATTTGATTGCAAAACCATCAAAGGAACAGGAAGACATGGATAAGGAAGGCAAAAGTCATTGTGTCCCCAAGTGCATTCTAGCAGCATTCTTGGTGCTCAAGGGAAATTCCTAAGGAAGAGAGGAGATGCAAAAGATGAAAATCAGACTTACATCACAATAAATCTAAAAACATTCAAGAACTCATGCCTTCAGCAGTTTTACAACATTGCTACCAGCTTTGCTAAATAACATCCAAGAAGCAGAGAAGGTTTCCAAACAACGGAAAGCGAGATTTACATGAAACATGATATGATGCAGTCACCAATGGGTACAAATATGGTGATGGTCCCTGGGCAAAATGAATAATAAATTGCCAGTCTCCCATATTAGTGAGCTTGAGATGCACTTATCTTCAAAGTAGATCCATTTAATCAATGAGGCTTAAACTAGTCGTCACTTGAGACCTATTAATTTCAATGGTCTACATAAATTTTATGTTCAGTTCAACAATTACAGAAAATGTAAGGCTACCTTAAGAGTTTATTAAATTTTAACTGAAGACTTCCTGCCTCACAAGTTTAATCAGTACATGTCACCAACATCTAAAGATGCTTTAGGCATAAGACACCTTCAGGACCTTTCGCTGGGGCAACTGCACAGGACCCAAAATTGGTAAACAAAACACAAATCTCACTATATTAGTCACATGAGGGGAAATCCAAAATTAGGAATTGCCCTAAAATGAATTAGCAAACTGTACATTCTAATTGAGATGTGAAATTATGTCATGTTGGGGAAATTCAAATTAATATTCAGGCCACAGAACTCTTAGTCTCAACATGTTGCTGTACTTCCTAATTTTCGGAAGACATACGGATGGGGTGTCACTCTGCACAGATTTGATTTGCTTAAAAGGTCAAAATATCTCAAATATAATTGTTTATACTTTCAGCAGATTTCCTGAAAGAAGAACCAGGAAAATAAGATTCTGACTATAAATAGAAGGTCAGCTGCTGTCCTCACCTTTTTGCCTTGTTTTTTACTCATGTTCTATTTTGAAATGGTCATATGACTGATCAAATAAATAAATAATAATAATAATAACTTTCATTCAATTATTCCAGAATGACTTAAAAGATTTGGCTGTATTAAACCTAGCACCTCAGTTTACCTACTCCATAGATAAATGAATAAAACATTGATAGAAAAGTAGTAGGGAACAATAAATGAGCTGATTTGAATAAGGTGAAGATACTGAAAAACATAATTTGGAAAAAAGGAAAATCAATTTAACAAAACTATTCCATCTCCAAGTGGCACAGTGGGTTAAAGCACTGAGCTGCTGAACTTGCTGACCAAAAGATCATAGGTTTGAATCTGGGGAGCGGTGTGAGCTTCCGCTGTTAGCCCCAGATTCTGCCAACCTAGCAGTTCGAAAACATGCAAATGTGTGTAGATCAATAGTACCACTCCAGCGGGAAGGTAATGGCGCTCCATGCAGTCATGCCGGCCACATGACCTTGGAGGTGCCTGCGGACAACACCGGCTCTTCGGCTTGGAGATGGAGATGAGCACCAACCCTTGGAGTCAGACATGACTAGACTTAATGTCAGGAGAAAATCTTTACCTTTACCTTACTCCATCTCTCCAAGTAATTACCATAAAACAAGACCACTGCTATCATACAATGCAACATTTCACAGATGAAAATGGGACATGGGTGGGCAAACAACATCAGAAAGTGGTCAAGATGGCAAATCTTATTAATAACAAGGAATACTCAAGCTAGGAGAGGCTGCATCAGATTGCTTTTTCCTGAACCTACTGGGAAGAGCAAGACTTTGACACTCCTCTCCTCCCTGATGAGTTAATCAAGTGAAAAATTACATTTTGAAAGCTTCAATCAACTGAAGTAAACTAAGACAATGGGGGAAAGTGAGGAGAGAGATAGAGAAATTCAGACATTTTAAAAGCAGCTGAAAAAAATAGGGGACTAGAAGATTAATTGGGACTGTCAATGCCAAATCTAGACAGTTGCAGGGTATGTGGTACATGGTACCTGCAGACAGACATTGAAGCAGGCAGCTGTTGTGTCTGGTAGAAATGAATAGGTAGCAGACAAGGTTGTAGTCTGCATAAGAATTCTTGCTGGAAGCCCTCTTCCTCCTTCCCAAGACAATCCATAATGTGAACTATAGTAATCACAACAGACAGACACAGCTTTCTCTCTGAAAAGTAATCACCGTAATGGATTCTTTGCACTTCACTAAGGCAGACAGGTAACTCTTTCTATAAGCACAAGGGGGAAGGGATCATTGTTGTTGATTGGATAAAAAATGTGATACTCATACATTATCAAAAAAGTGATTAGAGTTTGACATAGTCAACTTATAAATTATGCAGTAAAGGTCCCAGAATGAGGCTCTAGGTCAGTGAATGCGTCCTCTTGGACTCATGGACTGTGCCAGGCAATTCCTATGCTCATCAACAGCCATTTTCAATATATTAAATCTAATTATAAAAATGGTATATACTAGTGGTCTCATTCACAAGGTTAAGGGTTTGCTTTTTAAATAATTTAATGTTCTTTGTATTTTTCCGAATGGGTAAGGAGAGTGCTATTGCAATGCGTTTTAATAATTTGTGGGCTGCTCCCCAGGTGACTCCAGTATACATTACATGCACCTGCACAGCAAATGATAGTATTAGGCTGCATTGTAGCCACTTGTTTGTGCTGCACAAAAGCTATTGCTATGTTTTTATTTACACCTGTTACGAGTGGCAACACATGCTTTGTTCCAAGAAATCCAAATTCATATCCATCATTTTTTCCATTTAGTAATAGGTTGAGCTGCTCAGTGGCAGCAGACCTGGAATGAAAATGCTGGCACAAATAATTGTGGGGGGTGGGGTTACTACTGAATATGCTGTAAGGCAGTGGTTCTCAACCTGTGGGTCCCCAGATGTTTTGGCCTTCAACTCTCAGAAATCCTAACAGTTGGTAAACTGGCTGGGATTTCTGGGAGCTGTAGGCCAAAACACCTGGGGACCCACAGGGTGAGGCCACTGCAGTAAGGAATCCCAAGGAAGGCATAAATACAAAACATATATTCAAACACAAATAAATGTAAGGGTGACCCTTACAAAAGTTTACTGAGGACTGGGTATGGTCAAAGGCTCTTAAAAACCAAGGAATGTTGAACAGAAAAATCGAAGCCAGGATGGTTGGGAGGAGAGTAAAGACAGTGCCGCCCTTCAGCCATTAACATGTCAATAAGTGGCTGTAGTTAGTGTACTGCAATATTTTGTGGAAAATAGTGCCTATTGGAGAGAACCGGATAAAGTTCATGCGACAAGCCAGACTCAGAGTCATGATGGATTTGGCTAGTTTTCTAATAGCAGTGTAGTCTATCAAAAAGGAATGTGCTGAACTGCAAACCTGACTCAAAACAATAAAACTAGTATGAAAGTAGGGGAAACTAAGCTTGGATCCCTAGCTTTCTCTCCGAATACAATATGAACCGAAGTGGGTTAAATATTCTATTCTATTTCCATCATATTTCTGTAATTTTATTGCATATTTCATGATTGAATTCCTTTTTATAAATAGCCCAAAAAACCTACAACAACCCAGTGATTCCGGCCATGAAAGCCTTCGACAATACAATAAAGTTGTGTGCTGAGAAGTTAAGGTTCCTCCTGTGTTCACCATGGATAACATCATATGCTCACTGGGAGCATATGGCTTCCATGTCAGCAGGGTTTTGCCTGACCTCTAAAGGATCTGTCCAAGGTGCTAAAACATTCATCACAAAATGAGAGTAGTGCCTTAGATAGCTCCCTTAAGGTTCAGAGTGAGAGTAGGCTCACTGACATAGAAGGCAACAGCTACAACCAGATATAATAAGACCTTTCTAAACCAGGCAATGCAGCATGTATGCTGCTATTTATTACCTGATGTCAATAGATACTACCAAGTAATTGTAGTATTTTCACTTAAAAAGCACCAATGGTTGGCTTCACATTTTGCTGTTATAAATTGTCAGGTGTACTTACAAGACAATACTAAAAACAACCATAGATGTACCATATGTTTGCAGTTGGACTTTCCCCCACAAAAAAAACTGTCATGTTTTCACAAACTGCCATCAATGGATCCATGACAGGGATGGGAAATACATACCTCCCACTCCTCCTCCCAGATGATCTTGATCTCCATTTCATATAACTGCATTTCATAGTCTATGATTTGAATCTATAAGGGGCACTGGTAACTGAAAAAATCCTGGATGTGTGTATAATTATATTTTTTGTTCTTGTTGTGTGCCTTCAAGCTTTTTCTGACTTATGGCAACCCTTTCATGGAATTTTCCGGAGCTGAGAGTGTGACTCACCCAATGGATTTCCATCACTGAGTCAGGAATCAGACCCTGAACTCCACAGTTGTAGTCCATTGCTCAAACCACTACACCACACTGGCTTTCATACATTATAATCCAATCCTGAGTCAATGGACTTTCCTACTCATTATATGTTTCGAGGTTTTGTTTATAAAAACATCCATTCTTATCTTTGTAGTGCCTCTTAAAAAGTCAATATTTCCAAACATTGCATTGATTTTCTGCCACCTTATCTGAATTGTCAAGTTAAGCAATAACACAGCATCTCTAGAAAAAAGGAACAAAAACCCACAAAGAAATATCAGCAACATCTCAGAGACTCCACCTGAAGTTTCCGAGAAGTAAAAATCATGTTATGCTGTCAAAACTCTGGATGTCACAGAAAAGGTTAGTGGGGGGAAAAAATTGCCTTGTGCTCAGCTTCCTTCTAATTCAGTGTTTCTCAACCTTTCTGATGCTGCGACCCTTAATACAGTTCCTCATGTTGTGGTGATCCCAACCATAAAATTATTTTCGTTGCTACTTCATAATTGTAATTTTGCTACTGTTATGAATCGCAATGTAAATATCTGATGTGTGGGATGTATTTTCATTCACTGGACCAAATTTGGCACAAATACCCAATAGGGTCAAATTTGAATACTGGTGGGGTGAGGAATTGATTTTGTCATTTGAGAGTTGTAGTTGCTGAGATTTATAGTTCATCTACAATCAAAGAGCACTCTGAAC